ACGCTCGGAATCTGCATGCGTCTTCTACGATCAGCCGTGGGTTTCGAGCTCTGCAGCTCGGAGTGGATTCTCCTCCGTTGGCAAAATCATGCTCCCAGAGCTTGCAGACTCGCAGGTCCAATTCAACGCAAGCAACGTCACCTCAACCAGCTACACCTACTCCTAACAAGAAACCCTCGTTTTTCTCGCGCTTCTTGCCCGCGCCAATAGTTGCTAAAGCGCCGCAAAGCGCGTCCTCTCTGCGCAAGATCTTTGCTCTGGCGAAACCGGAGAGAAAGCCGTTGCTCATAGCTATTGGGCTTTTATTGGTGTCTTCCGGGGTGTCAATGAGCGTCCCCTTTACCATTGGCAAGTTGATTGACTTCTTCTCATCGACCAATCCTGTGAGAAGCTTCTTTATAACAGCTCTCAATTGGCGCTAACATGATAACCCAGCAAATTCCACTTGGCTTTTCCATCTGGGAAGCATCCGGGGTCCTTCTGCTACTCTTTACCCTGGGTGCAGTCGCAAACGCTGGTCGTGCTATGTTGATGCGACTATCTGGTCCGTTTCAACTCCTCATATCTTGGAGAGTGCCGCTCATCCACACACGCAGGACAAAGAATCGTGGCTCGCCTGCGCGAACAAACATACTCGGCTTCACTAAGGCAGGAGGTGGAATTTGTTGAACGGGGAGAAGGTGATGTCCTCAGTCGGTTGAGCGTCGATACGAGTATTGTTGGCGAGAGGTTAGTGACTTTGCCTGTTCGTATTTTCTGCCTTCCGACCAAGTTATGCGATGCAGTGTCACTCAGAATCTCTCTGACGGCCTTCGAGCTGTCGTTATGTCGACTGTCGGACGTAGGTGATTTCACCACGTATAAGTCTCAATCTCATTGATGATTGAACCAGTGGGTGCCATGGTGTACGTATCGCCGACACTAACACTGTTGATGCTCGCCGTCGTACCTCCAGTATCTTTGGGAGCCGTAAATATCTCATCTCATTATCCTATGTGAATATCTATCTGAGCTGTGTTCGTGACAGGTTTTCTATGGTCGCTATCTGAAAAAGCTTTCGAACAAGACACAAGAGGCGATGGGCGAAATGACCAAGGTTGCCTCGGAATCTCTCTCTGCCTTGCGGACCGTTCAATCCTTCAACGCCGTTCCTCAAGAAGAGAAGAAATTTCACGACAAGGTATCCGAGGTTCTTGTGCTCGCGAGAAGAGAAGCAATCGCCAGTGGTATCTTCTTTGGAAGTACTGGTTGGAGTGGCAATGTCACATTACTAGCATTGCTTGGTTATGGTATGCCTCTTCTCTGTTGCAATTGACATAGAATCTAAAATATCGAAATAGGTGGAACTCTGGTGTCGCATGGCGATATTTCAGTTGGGGATCTTACCAGCCTCCTGCTCTACACGGTTTATGTCGGCAGTGGATTGCAAATGCTCACGTAAGTGCTGTACGCTTGAACCTAAGTTTGTATCCAATCTAATTTCATATTCAGGTCATTCTTCGTGTGTAGCACTCCCATCTCTCTTATAGCATTCGCTTATATACGCGTCCCTAGTCATCAATCATGCGGGGAATTGGTGCAGGAATGCGCGTTTTCGAAGTCCTTGACAGGACGCCTGCCATACCTTATGCTCAAGGTGAAGAAGTCCCCCAAGGTCAAGGAGTGGTCAAATTTGAGCGAGTACGGTTCGAGTATCCGAGTCGGAAGGGTGTCGAAATTCTGAAAGATTTCAATCTGGAACTGGGAATTGGCGAGAGTGTTGCCATCGTGTACGTGATTCTTCTTCGAGTCTATCTACCTCGTATTCATCTCATGTATCGGCAGCGGCGAGAGCGGTGGTGGAAAATCGTCTATACACTCGCTGCTGCTGCGGTACTATGATCCCATCCAGGGTAAGATCACCTTCGACGGCCAAGGTACGTCTTCTTCTTCCAACGAATCATCATCACACATCTCACCATGGCATAGATATTCGCGAGTTCTCTACCACATCATGGCGCCAAATAATCGGTGTTGTTCCTCAAGACCCAGTCCTGTTCACAGGCACGATCGCGTCGAACATAGCCTTTGGAAACACAGATGCTACCCGGGAGGAGATCGAGCACGCTGCGCGAGAGGCGAACTGCGAATTCGTTTGGGGAATGCCGAATGGTTTTGACACTGAAAGTAAGTTCCCTTATGCAAATGAAGTGGTTGCTAGCATCTGACTCAACTTTGCAGTCGGCCGGTTGAGTCTGAGTGGTGGACAACGGCAACGTCTCGCAATTGCTCGTGCGCTCTTGAAGAAACCAGTCATACTGGCTCTTGATGAGGCTACGAGTTCGTTGGATGCCACATCTGAACGACGCGTAAGTTGGATTCCGCTTTGGCTCAAGGAATCAAGGCATTTAACGGTTTTGTAGGTCAACGATGCTGTGGATAAAATCTTGCGGTCGGGCCAGACGACGGTCTTGCTGGTCGCTCATCGGCTGTCGACAATAGCTCGAGCAGAAAGGATAGTCGTCCTAGAGGGCGGACGAATTACCGAATCTGGGACATATCGAGACCTTGTGAGTGCATGGAAGTATCATCCACTGAAGGAATCTTGCTAAGGGAGTAATGTCAATTCAGGTCAGCCGAGAAAACTCGCGTTTCCGGGCTCTGATGGCTGCTCAGCTGAACGCAGCTGCTGGTGAAAGCCTGTATATGGGACACGAACCGGCAGCAAACGAGGAGTCGACGGAGAAAGACGCAAAGTCTGAGACTGAAGATGAACCTCTTGTTCATGTAGAAGCTAACGCGTCTTCGAAACCGACATCATGATAGTAGGTTCTAATTGTACAGCATTGCATGTACGTGTAACTCCTGCATCAGAGTGCACGCCCTCCTCAACATTGTATCCCATCATTTATATCATTATTTACATTTACTTACATCTAGTAGCAATATAGACGCACCCCACTTTACGACCCATCAGACATCCCCGATGTTGCTGATAACATTGCAATTTGGAAGGCCTGGGCCTATAGAGTACAACCATTGGTTTGAACACGGACAGCCAGCCTTGAGGTAGCCTGCCATGACGTTCGTACTATCGCCGTCGGAAACGCACTATACAGCGTGGCCTTTATATTTGTAACCTGAAGCAACAAATTATCCAACAGACGATGAACTCATAATTCCATTTGTTATTGCTTTTGTCAGGGGAGGCCTGGCGCCACTTTTCATTATCTTAGCCCACCCAGCCCAGCCGCGCTTCTCCAAACAGGGCAGGCAGGGGACACGATCGCCGATTCTCACGTGGAGACAGATGATGTCGAGGTGGCCGCGTGTTTTCGGTTAATTGATGGTGACGTCGTGCTTGTGGGCTTCAAGCTATTTATGTAGCGCCTCTTGCTGGGTGGTCCCCCAACCGCGCGATGGAACCTCTTACACCTAACAGCATGCAAGGAGCTCATTCTCCAGTCCGCGGTAAAACATTCTCCAAGAATGTTGACGTTGAGCGAACCCAGAAGGCTGTTATTGACTTGAAGAAACCTCTGGAGAACCTGGCAGTGAGTTGCAATGAGCAGGCTCTGGAGACACGTATTGAATGTAAGATATAGGAAGCGCTCGGTGGGCTGCATGTCCAAACTATGCAGATCGCCAACCTCGACGGTCAAGTGGGAACAAAGCAGGAAATTAACGAGTGCGTGATTCGACCTATCTCGACAACTCATAGTCATCTCAACGGCTTTTGTCTCTAGCCTTCGTAATCAATTGCGCAATCAAGACCATGTATTGAAGAATGGAATGGATGAAATTCAAGGTTGGCGCTTGGGTCTCATACCTCTTGTTTCTTGCTAACGTTGTTCTATAAGATATACTTGACAAGCTCCTGAAGGATCAGGTCGTCTCAAACATGCGGAAACAAGGTCATTATCCGCGTATGAGCTTCCATTCGGATGATGAATAACATGATTCGAAAACAGTGGAAAAAGAGATCGCCGACCAGATTGATGAGCTTGTCAAGGAGCACGTCGCAGAATGTCTAAGAGCACACATCCCTCAAGACCTTCGAGACGAAGTTGCTGAGAGCAAGCACGAGCTGGAGCAAGTAAGGCTGGCGCTAAATAACTCGTATGTCTCACCACAAACTGTCCTTTCATCGCAAAGCCTCATCTGCCACACAGGGAGAGCCGTCGCGCTAACGGAAATCTGCGATCCAACAAACCAGACGACTTGCTTGGGACTATCTACATGACCGACGGAAAGGTCAGCCCCCACTACCCAAAGGATCTCAAAAGTCTTTTCTCCCTCAATGGTGGGTCACTAATTTCTTAACAACGTATCGCGTCATCTCAACGGCAATGCCTGACCAGCGGAGTCCACCGACGCTCTCATGAAAGACTACGAGCTGCCCAACGCCTCCGACTCCAGAGATCACAACCTCAACAGATTCATGCAATTCTGCGGGGTTCGATACCAATTGGTGGAATGAGACTCTACGTTCATCCTTTCGTTCATGACAACTCATGTTGAGCATACTCAGGTCCGCCGCGCAGGTGCTGAGCGGCGCAAGGGTGGAATTCATTGACACAACTGCATGGCCCCATTGTCTCATACACTCCCGTCTGGCAGGTGATTGGACAGGCTTGGACTGCTCGGGCTCTCTGGTTCCCTTGATGGAACGCGCTGGCCTGTCAGAAGCTCTGGTCCAGTAATTTAAAGTTTATAGGTGGCTTGGAATAATTGAATGGCATGCTGGGTTTTGAGGAAATCGACAGAGGAATGATATGATGCTTCTCTTGTGTACCGGCGAAGCGGCTGGCGAAGAGCGAGACGTTAAAGATCGTAACCGGCCTGATGGCCCGGTCCGCTAGACATCCGTTGTAGATATCCCTCAGTTATCGCTCTGGAAGCTTTATGCCTCATGGAATCTGCTACTGCAATCATGAAGCGAATGTAATGACGGCTGGCAAAATGTCACAATCAATGTATTGGTTCCCCCGATCTGATCAAATGATGGAGAAACAAAAACATCCTTCGAGCCGGGATCGAACCAGCGGCCTCGGGATAGGCTTTTACAAGCTTTGTAACACATTACAGTCCCACGCTCTTCCAACTGAGCTATCGAAGGCTGATATATGACAGGTATAGCATAAATATCACCTGAAATAATTTAGTTCGGGATCTACTTGAAAACAGTCAAAGAGCCTCATCATTGTGGGGAAGGTATGTAGCTTCATAAGATAGATCTCAATATGATCGACGAGATCCCATGAATGCATCTATTACATTCTACAAGTTGCCCTTCTGGATAGTATCCTCCTTTGGATAACCGATCTTACCATCCACCCAATCTCTAATCAAAACACCAGCAATCGCACTCATAGGCGGAAGTCTAAACGGCGGTTCATCATCACTCTTCACATCGACGTCCTTGGTCTGTGTAGCAGCTTGCGCAACCTGAGATTCAGCAGGCTCCAACTTCTGGCCGGTGTTACTTCTGCCCTCTGTGTTCTCGGTCATCTTCTTGTAATCGGCTCTTTCGAATCTAGTTCCGGCTTTGTGTTCGAGGACGGCGCGGACTTCGTCGCGAGTGAACCACCTTGCATCTGGAAAGGATTAATTTGAAAAAGATTCGCAAATGCGGAAACTAAGTGCTTACCAGCGAGCTCGTTGTCTAGATCTACCCGTATGGGTTTCGAAGAATCTGCCCTGGCGAAGAATCCAACCATCAGGTTGGCGGGGTAAGGCTAGGATTGGAAGTCAATGAAAAAACCGCAGAGACGGGCACGTTCGACTGACCCAGGGTTGTCCCGAGTGGTATTTAATATTCCATACATGAACTCCAGCCTCCTCCCACATCTCTCTTGCGACGGCATCTTCAAACGACTCCCCTGGTTCGATGAAACCAGCCAAAGCTGAGTAGAATTTGCCAGGGAACTTTTTCTACATCGAATTATTAGCATGACTGTTGGACGCACGATGAAGGATGGAGACGTACTCCTCTACCAAGGAGAACTTTATCCCCAGTTTCATCAATCGCAATCATAATGACCACAGCATCGGTGCGCGGGTGGGTAAAGTTGTGCAGCCCTTTGCTATCTTCGGCTTCAGTGATTGAACGGAAATTTTTGTGGTGTACTCACGACGTTGGACAGGGTTTCCGATTGCTATTATCCACCCAAGGCAGCAATGAGGTGCAATTGAGCTTCCATCCGCCCCACATGGAATAATTACGCGTTCCACAACCAGCGCAGAACTGGACAGCTTGCGTCAACACAGACCGGGAGGCATGCAGAGTCAACGCACCTTGTTGCGCTGGTTCCAGTCCGAAAGACTACGCGCAGAGGCGAAGACACCAGCGGTGAAGTGATCTAGATTTGACATCAACGCTCGGGGTTCAGACCAATCAAGCGTCTTGCCCTCCCGCCCGGGTGTTGTCTCTCGCAATATTTCCTGCAGCTTCTCCGGTGTGTACTCGAGATCAGACACATCAATAGCGAAGTAAGGTGTTCCATTGAGTTTCTTAAGGGCCTCTTCCGGATCTGAAAACTCGGATGATGGTAGCGCGGCGGTGCTATCGTCTGCTTTATCTTCATGAACCCCGAGGAAGACAACCGGTACACCGAGATGGCGCGCCGCCTCAGTAGGAGAGTGCTGTACATGCTCATGCGATTCACCGTCCTTCTCCTTGGCGAGATCGCCAGGTTCTTTCCCTTGCCCGAAATATGGCTCCGGTCCAAGGAATGGCTTGACATCGGCAGTGGTGAGATATAAGGGCCCAGGCTTCGTTGACCTGTCACTGCTGGCGATGATGAGAGGTTGGCCCGCGTTGAACAGAATCCATCGAACGTTTGGACTTGCGACGACAGCGTTCAGGAATGACTGAGATGGGCGAAGCCAGGATAGGCGATTGAGGGGTGATCCGCCGTACATATTGACGTGTCTGCGGTGCTGCTTTCAGTCATTCTGGCTGTCGTAAGTAAGGCTAAGATGGCGTACGTTTCTGGCATGATTGGAGACTTTGTGTCTAGAGCGGGCGAATGCAGAGAAGTGAGGGTTCAGGGGAGACAGTAGATCGGCAACTTGTCGTCCGGTGAAGATATGGGTCATGTTTGTCATGATAGGAATTCGTCATCCGTCACTACTTGGATGATTATATATCAAGGAGCAGAGTATCAACAGTTAGATATCTCCTTCCCGTCGGCCAGACAACTTGCACCCATCCCCTATTCGTGAGCTAGCTCAACTTGACCGAATGGCAATGAAATGAAGCGAGGATGTGGTTCAAGCACAGTCTTCACGGAGATCGAAATTTCCCAGCATAAACGGGCCGAAAGTGACGGGCCCGCTTCTACGCCTCATGTCTTCCCACTATGCACCGCCAGGCTCGAGGGATGGACGGCCTCGAGAATTCCCTATATCAGGACTCTGCTCTTCACACTGCTGCGTGCATGCGTGCTCGTGGTGATCTGATTGCACACAACCACTTATCTTTGGCTTCACATAGGCGCCTTCTGATCCGAGTGTAGCTCAATAGGAAGGAGGTTGGACATAAATACGTCTTCTTAGGCGTGGCTGCAGGAAGTTGGAAAGTAAGTTCTCGGAGGACATTGTGGCTTTATCTCTTCATTGATTCATTGTATATAGAGATTGTCGAACGCGAGACCTAGACCATGCCCTTTCGGTATGATTCCTTCGACCAACAAGTAGGACTCACCAATGCGCCGTTGACTGAACACGAGGCAAAACATATTAGACTTCGACTCCAAGAGAGGGAACATAGCGTCACCAGAATAGACCGAGCCCTCATGTTCACACCACAGACTAAATATGCGGAACTCCAAGAAGACCGCGCCAAAATTGTTGCACTCATAGACCGATACCGCATCGCCCTGGCTCCTTATAAGAGGCTGCCCCCGGAGATGTTACAACACATATTCCATTGCGCCGCCGAAGGATATACCCAATCCGGGTTTAGCGTGGATAATCCCCCGTTACTGCTCTGCAGAATCTGTTCCGCATGGCGGCGCACCGCGCTACATATGCCCGAACTATGGCGCTCTCTCCACTTCTTCCTCGAAATCTTGCACAGTCGCGCTCGCAAAGTGAAAGCCGCGCAAATGTGGTTCTCGCACGCAGGAGACTCGCCTCTCTCTCTCACATTGACGGACACCGCACGCGGTCCGTACACGGAGAACTTCGTGAAAGAAGTGATCACGCCCTTCTCGCGCAAATTCAGATATCTCCATCTCGTCTTGCTTCCATCTCAAGTCCAGGAACTTTTTGCGTTGCCTGTGGGCTCGTTGGATCGTCTCGAAGAGCTATACGTCGTCGCTTATGCAAATCTGATACATGCGGTAGAGGTCACACCAGTACCCGCCTGGGCACCTCCCATAGCTGTCTTTGGGCCTTCATCGCGTCTACGCCGATTTCGCGTGTTGCTCACTCCTTTTGTGTCTGCCGGAATTTTCCAGCAGCTGCCTTGGCACCAACTAGAAGCCTTCAGATGCGATTCTACGATACAAGCGGCCGAATGCCACGAGATGCTGCTCTCCTGCCAGTCTCTTCGGAAACTGCACGTCCGCATTTTCGGGATCACGTACATGGCAACCGCCATCCTTGAGATACCATTGCCCAATATCACGAGCCTCACTGTCCAACTTTGCGACCAGGAGGGCTACGACCGCTTCTTCCTTCCCCTGGTCCTTCCTGTACTTTGTTCGCTTATGATCTATAATTACCACGGACTACCCTGGTCGCCGCGCATGTATAACGGACTTTTGGACCGCTCGAGATGCGAACTCGAGGAACTCTACCTCGGGACCTTGGATTCTGATTCACGCGACATTCTTTCCCTCCTCCAGCGGACGCCGTCGCTGAAATCAATCACGTTATCGCATAACACCCCCGTCGAGGATGATATTTTTCATCGAATAGGTAGCGGCGAGATCGGCGGATGTCTGGAACAGCTATTTCTCAAAGGCAAACGCGAGCTCAATCCCCTGCTTACAATGCTGGAGATACGACAAAGGGCCGAAGCGGACGACGGGGCGACATCGCGCTTGCGGTTCGTGGAGACGCATGCTGACGAGCAGGATATTGAGGAACAAAGCGCGCGGATCCGGGATTTACGGGATAGTGGGGTTGAGATCAGTCTGGTGAAGAAGATTGAGCTGCATTTCCATCTGTAAACTCTTTGGTATTCAATGGCGAGTAATTACAATCTATCTTGTGCTATTCAACTACACAATGATGTAGAACCTTGGGTCTTCGTGGACTTGATACTTATTGGAACGGCGGTGGTCCTGCGACGGCTGTCAGCTCCTGTAGCACTTGCGCGAAGTCGCCATTGACGTCCACACACGACGCTTTCTTGTCCTGTCGTGAGTATAGTCAGACGCGTGCGCGCGGGTCTGTGTTGTGGTTGCATACCTTGACGAATTTATGCCAGACGGCAACGCAGTCCATAGCGTGCTGCGCTCCATTCCTGAAAGAGTACGTGATAGCGAGCTTCACCCGAATCTGGTTATTCTGCACACGAACTGACACACTGCATCAGCACCATCCTCCTTTCTCAAGTATAAGTATAAGCAGTAACACTGACTTTCTCTGATACTGCAAGTATTTTCTCTAAAATGAGTGTTCAGCTCCAGACAGCAAACTCACAGGACCCACCTATGGCTAATCCGAGGACAAGCCCCGTACTCCCAGATATACAGCCGTTCCAGCGCCGCGCGTCCCTGCAACGGCGGCGCGTTCGCGAAATTCAGCACCGCGTCGTCGTTCATGAATATCGCGACCATGCCCACGTTCTTCGCGTCTGCCATGCGGTACATCTAGACGTTGCGGAGCGGGGCAATGGTCAGGTTTGTTGCCGTGCACTTGCAGAGGTGGGATAGCGTACCTCGTACACCCATTCTTTGGCCTCTTGGATTTCGGAGGGGGTGATGGTGCGATGGCGTGGTGTGTAGGTCATGGTACTGTGGATGTGCTTAGGCTTAGGTGGGTAAGTATACGCTATTGGAAATAGTTGACTCGGCCGCGCAGTAATTGGAAGGTCGTTTTTATACCTCAAGCTCTGGGGTTCGATGTACACGTCCACGTCCTTCTTCGAGGCCTGGTGCAGTA